ACCTTAGCTCTATGTAAACGTCTTGACTTTGGTTCAACAACCAATGAAATAGTGAGGTAAGTTTCCCATCAGACAAGTCTATGAGAACTATATGATCAGTATGTTGCTCACAAAGCACCTGCATAGATGTTTAGTTTTGGAAATATTATGATAATATAGTCCTTGACATAATATAAATGTATCTTTGTTGCCTCTGATCTCTATCATACAATTAAAATTTCAGCATAAGATAGGTGAGGATGTGCTTTGTCTATGTTTCAGCTCAAGTTCAAAGTTTTCACCAATCATGGAGGATTTCTCGCCTTGTTTAGTAAAATCTTAAAATAATTTTTATTATGATAATATAACAAAAGTTTTACTTGAAATGTTTTTGAAATGAAGTTACGCTTGTGTCAAACTTCTATTACTTGTATGTGGCTTGGTAAAACTGGCATTTAACATGCTTCTTGCTTGACCTCATCCAGGTTTAAAGAAGATGCCTATGATAGAATTTGGTATCCTTACAATTTACCTCATTGTGAGCCATTGAGTACTAACCTGACCATTGATTCCCTGAAAAATACATATCGGCTACCGTCAACAGTAATGAGAACTGCTGTAACACCAAGTAATGGTGGCGAACCCCTGGAAGTTCAGTTTGAAACTGGTGATTCTATTTCAAAGTTCTATGTTTATATGCACTTTGCTGAGATTAAGGAGCTCCGTGAAAATGAACACAGAGAATTCAGCATTACATTGAATGGAAAATTGTTGGATGAGTCTGAAGATCTTGTAGTCCTTAATTACTTAGACCCGACCACAATTCATAATCCACAGCCCATCACAGGGCCCAACCTTCGGCTCTCTTTGAACAAGAAAGAAAATTCCACCCTTCCTCCCATTCTCAATGCAATGGAGATTTACTTTGAGAAAGATTCATATCAGGAACCTACAGACCAAGAAGATGGTTAGTTGTTTCTCACTTTCTTGACAAATCCTTGCTCTTTCTTTTTTAGGTTCAAACCTCAATTTGGTCTTATAAACATGATTCTATTATCAATTGGCTCCAGTTCACTCTTGCAGGTACTAAAACTGATACCTATAGTCAGAAACATTATTTATTTTTAGTACTAACTGCACCATTTATGAGGCCATCTTGGAGGGATCAAAATGGGATCTTGGTCTTTTAATAAGTATTCTTCGAAAAGTTAGAGAATTTCTTAGTTTGGCATCAAATGCTTGTGAAAATTTCAGTTAATGCTATCATGGACATCAAACAAGCCTACACTATTAAGTCGTGGCAAGGAGATCCTTGTGCACCCAGGTACTATCCCTGGGATGGACTTAACTGCAGTTACAATGGATATGATGCACCAAGAATAATTGAATTGTAAGCCTTGTTATATTTATATTCAAACTAAAGTTTACCATAGTGGTGTATTCATTATGTTGACAAAATTATGTGAACTGCATGCAGAAATCTACCCTCCAGCAACTTGTCAGGAACAATAAGTCAATCATTTTCCATGCTGAAATCTTTAGAATATTTGTGAGTTTGAATTTAACAGAACCATGAATTCAATCAAATATTTAATACAAGCACTATTTCTGCACCTTCCATTATGAATACCACAGATTCCTCAAGCAACTGTTGCCTGTTATATACTATAATGTTAACTCCAACTAAAACGTGCATGTGTTTCAGGGATTTATCAAATAATAGTTTAACTGGGTCACTTCCTGATTTTTTCATCCATTTGCAACACTTGAAGACTCTGTAAGTTGTTGGAGATTCTAGTTGCCGCTATAACTCACTTGGAAGTCCCAAGGACCGTCTGACATATATCTTTTTGCAGAAATTTATCAGGAAACAGGCTCTCTGGTGAAATTCCATCAGCTCTCAGGGAAAGATCAGATAATGGGTCACTTCTGTTGAGGTTTGTCTTCATTTAGTATCATAAACTTGACAATAATACCTCTCAAGGAAAGGACAGCTGAGGACCTTGTTTTTTCATGCATCTTTAATTACTTAATCGATTTCCTTCTTCAATAACCTGAGAAAATCCGATATAATCACAGTGTGGATGGGAATCCTGACCTTTGTCTGAAAGCTCCGTGCAAAGAGGATAAGAGTTCTTTTCCACTGCATGCAGTCATAGCCATTCTTTCATCAGTAGTCTTTTTAATTGCACTGGCTATTGTAGTCAGCATTATTTGGAGAAGGAAATCCAGCAAAAAACCAGGTCTGCAAATTGATCTTTGTTTACCTCCCCAGATAGATTGGGAGTATTATGAACTTTAAGCTGCAATATTGTAAATAATAACTTGTGCATGAATCCAAATGATTTTGGAAAAAAATATAAACGTTTTCAATTATAATGCATGTCAAATTATGCTAATCATGAAAACTAATCAATTCGTTTAACAGCAAATCAGCTGGTGACATCGAATGAGGAAGTTGTGCTGAAGTCAAGCAATGCAAGATTCACATACTCCCACATAGTAGATATCACCAATAACTTCGAGAAAATGATTGGAAAAGGAGGATCTGGAGCTGTTTATCATGGCTCCTTATCTGATGACACGCAAGTTGCTGTCAAACTGCTCTCATCACCAGGAAGCTGTAAGCAGTTTCAGACAGAGGCATGCTTTTCTCTCCCCAGCTAATTCAGTTCATTTTGTTTCTTAATTAACTTCTTAGAACCAAATCACTTACATGATATTTTGCGGTATTTGCAGGCAGAACTCTTAATGCGACTTCATCATAGAAACTTGGCTTCCTTTCTTGGATATTGTAATGAAGGCGGACACACTGCAATCATATACGAGTTCATGGCTCATGGGAACTTAGAGAAGTGTCTTTCAGGTACATCATATTAATTTATAGAGGGGATTCATAAGCATAATTACTTAATCTTGGACCAAATGAGAATTTCACCATATTTCTGTGACTGTCTGATGAATATAGGTTCAATGAAAGAATTATCAAGTTGGAAAAACAGGATTCAGATAGCAGTCGACGCCGCTCAAGGTAAGCCGTGAGACTGACTACATACTGTATTCTTCATTTTCATGTGACTGGAAGGTAATTAACATTGGTAGCTATATGTTTAGGACTTGAGTATTTGCATCATGGCTGCAAGCCTCCTCTAGTTCACAGGGACATAAAGACATCAAACATTTTGCTGAATGAGAAAATGCAAGCAAAAGTTGCAGATTTTGGGTTCTCAAAGTCCTTTTCAACTGAAAGCCAAAGCCATATGTCGACAGAAGTCATTGGGACATTCGGATACCTGGACCCAGAGTAAGTTATTTGTAATACACAGATAACAGTGCTTTTTATTTAGCCGGACTCAAAAAATCAGAAATTTTTTAGTTGAACTTGCCTTGAACAGTTTCTGCATGTTACATGCATACAGACACCCCGCTTCTTTTGACAATATAAATAAATTGCTTCTATGAGAGAAAATTAATACATGGTATGTTGATGACATGTTTCTACTCAATGTATCCTCTCCCGTTTATGTTATTCACTTGGTTAATTGGTTTGGTACAGTATAGAACGTATCAGAACAAATACCTCAGAGTCGAGAAGTTAAAGCGTTTAGGAAACGATGAACATCACTTTCCCAAGCAAAAGAAAATAGACTGTTTTCTGTTAAGTTGGCTCACAGCCCAAGATGTATTGCATTACTTTGCACAGAGGAGAACAGAACCCTAGAATGTACAGGATCATTACACGTGTAAAATACTTCAGATAAATGTACAGTGTAGATATGTGTGAGAGTAAACTTGATATCATCTTGGGCTGTCTTCTATTAATAATGGGCTTGTATTGGGCTTTTTCTGTTTTGCTTTAACATCCCATATCCTCACCTTTTGATGTTTTTAGACTACAATATGTAATTTCAAGATTACAGACATGACCCGAATGAGTTTTCTTATGCAGATACTACTCAGCCAACAGGCTTACTGAGAAAAGTGATGTTTATAGCTTTGGCATTGTGCTTCTAGAGCTTGTTACAGGGCAACGAGCAATAATAAAAGGTCAAGAGAACACTCACATTGTGAATTGGGTTACCCCTTTTGTGAAAAGAGGAGATCTGCAACAAATTGTGGATTCAAGGTTGCAGGGAGATTTTGATTTTGGTTCTATGTGGAAGGCTGTGGAAGTAGCAATATCTTGTGTGTCTCCAACCGCTAGTGAAAGACCATCAATGAATTATGTTGTCCCAGAATTAAAAGAAAGCTTAGAAATGGAAGCAGCTCGTAAACAAAGGTGGGGTACAGATGGAAGAATTCTTAAATCAAACAGCTCATTCGACACCCATGTTGTTGATCTTGAAGCTGCCTCTGGTCCAGAGGCAAGATAGTAGGCAAGAATGTTCCTTGTGATGATGATAGCCTGCAGAGAACCTTTAAAAAAGTCTAGTCTGATTAACGTCCTGATATTATTATGAACAGGGGAATCAATATGTATAAAGAAAAAGCACCAGAAAACAGATATATATATATGCATGTATGCATCTATGTATGCATGCATGCATTATGCATATGTGCAATGTAAATGTTTGTGCAGTCAACACGGTGGATAATAGTATCACCGCAATGCCACGTGCATCTCCCCTTCTTTCCTTCCCATACCATCTCTATTTTCTTTATTTTAAAATCTTCTCTCACCGTCGGTTTCTTGTAATCGTGATCTTCATTGGCTTCAAAAGTACAATATTGCCTCACAACAATGAGTATTTTGGGCAAAAAATTTAGGAACTATTAAACACAAAGCAAGTGTTGCCCACCAGAAGGTAACTACATTGTGACACTCTTTACCAAATTTGCATCGATGAATGCTTGCTATACATGTGAAAGTGCATTATTTGTTCACAAAACAATTACTGTTGGAACAGATCCTAAATTCTAGAAGTAGCAAAGTACAGTGGCACTCACTTCGTCTACTAATTTAAAATACCTACAGCTGAAGGAAAAAAAAAAACTACTATAACTTACAAGTAGCTGCTAAGTCAAAATGAACTATATGATGCTGATCTTCTTCCAAAGCCACGTTTGGCATTGGAAGATGTGCCGGAGTCTTTTAAAGCCTCTGCATATTTCATTAAGGGAGTTTTCTCTATATTTACTGTATCTGAATTTGTGCTGTCTTCTTCTTCCTTTAGAATCGCCAACCTGTGGAAATCAGAGGAACTTCTGTATATCCTACATGGAGTACTGTCAAGTTCATTCCTTCGGCACGTGTCATTCCCAGTGGATCCGCTTGAACAGAACTGTGGGGAATTGCTTTTTTGAGACCCACATTTTTCCCCAGGTGAAAGCTGAACATGATGGTGCTGGCTATCTTTGCCTTTGATCAGTCTTCTAAGTTTGTGAAAAAACTTGTTCTTGTTTGAAGTTTGGATTCTGGGAACAGATGATGATGAGTTTCCAAAAGGAGAGCAATCATCAGCGTCTGTAAGAGAAGAAGCCTGAGAAGATGACCATTGATCTGAAGGCGAATCAAAGTCCATTGTTCCTTCAGATTTTGCATATTCAAGTATGAGCTGTTTCGCTTTCTTCTCAGAGGTAGGGCTTAAACTTTTGCTGAGGTCCCTTGCAACAGTTTTCCCAGGTGGCGGCTGATAATTTCTGAGCTCATATCGCAAGCAAGCATTAACCCATCGAAGATAGACCAATTCTTCAACTTCTGAACATCGATCTGCTTGAAGCTGCTCAATCTCCTTCGTCAAGTTCTCGTTCTCTCGTTTCAGACGTTCGGTCTCTTCCTTGAGAGCATCTTTCTGCATCCAAGTCCACACGTACAATGTAAATTTGTATCCATCAGAAGGAGTATGCAAGTGCACGCGTAGCAACCGAGATAATTAATTTTTAAATTTTTAAAATAAAATAGAAAATAATTATACATATAACAACAGTAGAGTATTACATTTTTGTTGAGTTGAGTAGAGTAAATATATATTATTTATATTAATCATCCAACAGTATAACAACAATAATTATCCATCGATATCATTTTTGTTAAATTTTTTTAATTTACAGTTAATTACGCCTCATTACTTATATCTTTGCATGCAGAAATTAAAACAATATATAATTACAATAATAAAATTTATTAAAAATTTATACGATTATAACAAAATAAGGTTTCATCAATTATAAGAATTTAATTACAAATTTTTAATATATAAGAATTAAATTAAAATTTATAAGTGTAATTCTCAATTTAAGTTTCATTTTTATCAATATTCCTAAAACTTTTTATAAGATAATAAGATTTTCAAAACAAAAGAGATGACACACTAAAGCGGTGTTTAGCAAGATAAAAAAGTGCTTTTGAAAAGCACTTTTTCGTAAAACGAAATAGATTTCTTTACATATTTACTTCGTATACCGTAAAAGCACTTTTAAAATTATAGTTTGGTTTCTATTCAAACATTTTCTAAACAAAAGATATTGAATTAGCATATTCTGTTGCATCAAACAATCAATAATATTAAATATTAATCCGTCCTAAGTATAAAATCTAGTTTGTACTTAGTAGTGTAATTTATACAACCAACTAGCTCTTGTAACTTAGTAGTGTAATTTATATATCAAACTAGATGCGAGGTTACATTAAACAATTTTGTTTGTAGTGTATAAATATACAGAGAAAGAGACGTGCACGAAGAAACCATATTTGGTTCGTTCGCCCCAAAGGAAGAAAGAAAGCAGATTGGATTAGATGGCCGGTAATTAGTTTACCTCTGGATCTTCAAGAAAAGCATTTGCAAGGATCTGAGTAGAATCCAATCTTTGAGCCAATTCTGAATTCTCTATCTGCAATCTAAAATTCGACTCCCTCAATTCCTCTGCTTCAGTCTCTAAATCCTTCAACTTCTGCAGCTTTTTCTGTAAGTCTTCATCACTACCAGCATCTCTGTGATCTTCTTGCAATTTTATAGTTTTTTGTTGAAGGTTCCGTATCAACTCCCTGTTCTCTTCAGCTTCATGCTTAATTCTTTTCTTCAGTAGCTTCGCTTTCGCTTTCGAACACTCAAGCTCTGCCACAAGTTTCGCATGATCCGCCATTTGTGCTTCTAGCCTTCGATTCTCAGACATCAGATTCTCTACCTTCAGATCCAACATTTTCGCCTCCATATTGCTTATCGCCAAACGGTTTTGAAGCTCCATTACTGCCGTTTCTTTCTCTCTAAGATCATAGTAATCGAGCAATTGAACCTCGAGACTCGTTTCTCTCTCTTGAAGCATTCTGATAATGTTCTTGAGATTCTTCATCTCTTGATCATAGTCATCCTTTTCTGGAGTTACATATGCTTTAGGAGGAGATTCTAATTTCGACCTAGGTGTCGTATTACTGATGATCACCTCCTTGATGAACGATTCTTCCTGAAATTAAGGTAATGTGATTCCCCTATTTTAGTTAATCGTAAGACTGAGGATTCTCTTAATTAATAATGCTAGTTCAGAATAAATTTTGAATTAAGTGATTCAGATTTCTCATTGGAACTTACCGTATCCAGAAAATGTGCATCTGAAAAACTGTTGCAAGAACTTGATCTAGATACTAGCTTTATGGAAGGAAGATCATGTTTGAGTTGAGTTTTATTTGAACTAACATCACTTTCATAACCTGGGAAATGCATTGCGCAGACATAATGTTACTAAGAATAGAGATTTCACTCAATTTCCTATTAGAACAGTAAAAGGAATAAAAGCAATGATGCATAGATAGATATATAAACCTGAAGGTTGGTCTGAGTGAATCCTACTTTCAGACGGATTGTTGATTCTTCTGATTCTGATGCGAGAGATGAGATATCCAGCTATAGAAAGAGTTAGAGCGAACCCTACTTTCAATAGAATAGGCTTTACATCTCTGCTCTCTCTCATCATCATTTTTAAGAATCTTCAAGCCTCAGAAAATTCTCATGTTTTCCTTTCATCATCAGTCTCTTACTCCATGAGGACAACACCCAGACACATTGCTTGCTTATGCCCAATGATCCCTGAGCAGATTAAACTTGTTTTATATCATCAAACCCAGAAACTACAAATTGAGGAAGCTAGGGTTCACAAAAATCTACCATGTCATTGATTCTGCACCCAGAAAAAGAACATAATCCATAATGTCAATGTGTATATCAACAATCAATAATAAAACTAAAAAGTCGTGAAATTATACCAAAACTCATTTCAAATTATTCAAAAACTCGATCGTGGTGGATAAATATCCTAAAACCTTGTCATTTCAAATTATTCTGTTTCAGCTTATATTCAGGAGAGAAAAAAAAAAAAAAAAGATAAGGAGCTTTACCTTGTGGAATTGCCATCGATCATATATTGCTTGGCCTGATTCAACGGTTGAATTGAATATTTCAGGCTTTTGATATTTTGTTTTGCATCAGTTTTGATTACATGTTTGCTTCTTCCTCAACAGAAAAAATTGACTTTGCCTGCAAAAGCCTTTAATTTTGTGTTGTTTAGCTGGGATGATTAATGGCGAAGAAGATTGGGTGCACCAGAGAAAGACAAATAAGAAAGAAGATGAATTGAAAAACGTAATCATTAGGGAAGCAAAATATAATCAAATAGTTATTACTTTTTGGGACTTTTGGCGAAAATGAAAATTTACTGGCAGAGTTAATGTTTGAAACCAGATTTAGCATCAAGATAAATGGAAGCCCTTATTCAACGGTCTTTTAATTACAGTTCAACTTTACCCTCTATTACTAACATTTTTCTTTCGTTTTATTATCTTTCTCCAACTCTGTTGTCATATTTGCTTCAAAATGCAAATAAAAAATGAGACTTTTCCCAAAACAAAAAAAGAAAAGAAAAGAAAAGGATTCACAAGTATTTTGTTGTTGCAAAAAGAATTTACAAGTTAGTAGACTGAGTTCTGGGATTTGCATGTTGCCATGCAGAATAAATAAGAAACATATAATTTTATAAATAAGAAGTAAATGTGTACCAAATGTTAATTATAAAATATAAATAATGATTTAAAAAACTATTATATAAAATGTATATTTAATTTTGCATACAATAACAAATTCGTTATAAATGCTAATTGAAGCTTAAACATCATATATATAATAAACCATGAACAATATCTCCGACTCTATACAACCTATATAACATCAACATGTTTATTTCAAAATAAATTAAGTAATATATTATTATTACCTCAAATATAAGAGCAGCCCCTTTCTGAGGTCCCAGTGATGTAAAATCCTCTGTATCCCCCTTTCATTTTCCCAGAAAAAATTAATTAAAAAAAACAATTTAGAACAGTAACGCTTGAGAAGTTCATATTATTAACGAGTCATGGAGCATCCATCTTCCATTCCGACGACGTCGTGGCCCCATGCACAGGCCTCCACATGTCACCACAAAAACATCATGCTACCTCCTATTTTAATTATGAGATTTCATTTATAGACTTAAACTCGATGTAGTACTACTTTCAATCCTAATTATAAGAACCAGTTGACTAATTTGAGAAGATTAAGAAAGTAAATTGAGTTAGTTATTTGTCCTAAATAAGTGTTGTTTTCCCTAAAATATCATTGCTAATCAAGTGTATTGACTAAAATTATCATTGTTAGAAGGGCTACTTTGAAAAAAAAAAGTATAAATATGAGAGATAAAATGGATTGGGATCTTATATTTAGGACCAAAATAAAAATCAAATAGAGTCTTATATTAAGGACCGGAGGTAGTATTATTTATCTCTCCTTTGATTGAAAACATACCTCCCAAATATTCCACAACTTTGTCCCTGTGTGTCCCTTTAAATTTTACTTATTATTCTTACAATTTTAAGTTAAATTTAAACCATTCAATAATAATATTATTATTATTATCTGACTTGTTAGCAAACCTTCTGACTAGTCCAGCGCGCCGTAAGTGAAGCCCTCTCTGACTATTCTAAGGGTGTGTTTAAATAAAACCAAACTATGGTTTGGAGAATAGTTTCTGAAAAATAGATTCTAGAGATAATAGATTTTATGAAAAAGTGATTCTGAGAAGTGAGAGTTTGAATAGTTGTTACCAGAAGCCCTTTTTATATGTGCAATTACTAAAAATGACATAAATTAATATTATAATTATATAAGGGATATATTTTATAATATATTTTGATTTGAAGAAATAAAATTGTTAATAAAATAATTTTTACTAACATAATTAATAATATATAAGATAATATAACTAATAAATAATTAATATGTGTATATATATTTATAAATTATAAGATTAAATAGTGAAGAACCGAGTGTGGAATGAAGAGTGAGGCATCAATTATGGGGGCTGCTTTGTTATATGCTGTTGGGCCCACACTAATATCTGGAAAATTTGAGCCAGAAGCAACTTTAAACCACTTCTGCCGAAACCATAGTTTTGGGGTTCAAAACCATGGTTTAACCCCAAACCGTGGTTTCACATTTTCTACTCCTGTTTAGCTAGTTTCTTCCCCAAACCATAGTTTGGAAGGACATCCAAACAGGGCCTTAAGTAAGAAGGAATGTCTTGTAACGGGTCAGGATAAGTCTGCAAAGAAGATCGACAAGCAAGAACAATATAATCAGTATACGTTCATCAAGTGTATAAATGCATATGTATATATATGTATGTAAGTATATATATCATTAAAATATTGATAATTCTGGTGAATGCAGGGGGAAAGAGACAGAGAGAGGGTGATACAGAGAGGTGATGCGGAATGTAACAAGATAAGTGAGGAACATCTTCGAAGATGTAGCCAGCATCTCCTGTGACGATCTTGGGGAGGAGACGGGCGGAATCCGCCGTGGAGGTGGCGGCGGAGGAATATAATGGGATTTGGTAGAGGTGGAAAAGTAATAGGAATGTCCGGGGATAGAAAGCGACGAGTAGTAGCCGTTAGAAGGACCAAAGCACCGGAAATCGAGTCTATCAGCCCTGCTCCCACCCAACGTCAACGGGAAGTACAGGGAATACAGGCATATACGCGCGCGCGCGTATGTATATATGATTAATGATTAATTGGGAGGAGAATGTCGTCACTAACTTCTCTTTTTATTTTCTCTCCATTTAATTTCTTCATTATTAGATTATCTTCTAATGATTGGGATTTAAAATTAAATAAAAATATTATTATAATATTAAATATAATAAAAATTTATCACATTAAACTACTTATATCAAATTTTAACACTCAACAGTATAACTTTATTTATATATTTTTTATTATTTAATATTTAATATTTTAATAATATTTTTATAAAATAAATCTTAGTCATTGAAATTTGATCTAATAATAAAAATATTAAGTGGAGAAGAAGTGAAGAAAGGGTTTGGCAGAGACATTCCTCTCCCTGATGAATGATATGAGTGTGTGTAATACAATTGAGGAGATAACGAAAGCTCATGAGATAATCAAGGCCACATCAATGGTATATATGTGTGTGCTATTGGGTGTGCTTAACTAAATATACAGGTCAGGTCAAAAACTAAATATACAGGTCATTTGATGATGTTTACGTGATTATTTTGAATTTCTTTTTCCACATGAACTAAAAAATTTAGGAGAGGCCAATGAGACCCATTGAAATGTTAATCATACAGGATGGAAATACTACAAAATAAAATTTTCAAACCGATAAAACTTTTATTAAACAGAACTTTATATATAACGAATATAAGCAAGCTGATTTATTAATAACGATAATAATAATTCCCATGGAAACGGAATGTTCTTTCGAAGGCAAAAGATTACTCATTTTGGTTTGTGGCTTTAGAGTTCTTTTGGCGCTCATCTGGAGAAAATCGGCACGCGGGTAGTCAAGAGTTCTGCTGTCTCCAGAATGGCCAAAAACCGAAAACATTTGATCTTTCAATCGATGATTTGTTTGTAGTTTCCCTCGTAAACCTCACAGAAATTCTTTACAAAGTTCACTTCATATGCAAAGCTCTGTCATGAGAGTCCTCAGAACTATCTTCACCACTAAGCACCACCTGCTTTACCCCGTCAACATCAAACGTCTTTCAGCTCCCTCTCTCATTTCTTTTTGTTCCTTTCCAAATTCTCGATTTTCTCGTTATTCTCATTACGCAAGCAGTCATCAGATAGATTCGAGCTTTGGCATTGATACTCCAGAAGAGCCGAAGACCAGTTTAAAAACTCATTCCGAAGAAAGAAGAACTTGGTCGCGACATGGTCATTTGTTTAAAGCCTCTAGCGAAGGGCAGAAGAATCAGGTGGACTCTGGGGATAAAGTTGAAAACTTTGGTAGCCAAAGGGCAAATGGGAGCGCGAACGAGGCGAGCTCAGTTCAAGGTACCGAACAGGATGGAGGTATTCGAAGGAGAGTTGGGATCAAGAAAAAGGAAAGAGGAAAAACCCAATGGGTTTGCTCCAATTGCGGGTATACGACTGGTCAATGGTTCGGATTTTGCCGCTCCTGTAATAGTGCTTCCACGATGAAAGAGTTTCGTGAACCGAAACTCAGTGGTTCTGGTAAGGTTAGTGGATTTTCAGTTTCAGAAAGTGTAATGGGGTCGTGGCTCCCTCATCAGGCAGGTGAATTGCGTCCTTTGAAATTGACGGATGTGAACCGTCGAGTTAATCATCAAGAGTGGAGATTTCCTTTGTAAGTTTATGTTATTCTCCTTTTGAAATTTGTCGTCTGCTTGGGCACTAGACAGTTGGCTATCTAGGGATTTAAAATTATGTGGCCTGGTTTTTATTTCTAGTTTATTTATCGGACTTGATTCAAACTTAAGCACTTCAATCTTGGAGACGATTCTACTACTTGACCTTGAGCCAAAGCTTATTAGTGAATGGCTTTTGTTCCTCACCAAAGTTAACTCTTAAGTTGGTGGAAAGAGTGGTTTTAAACAGTCGTCTTAGGCCTTTTTTTTTTTTTTTTGGTGGGGTGGCGAAAGTTGCATCCTTAGCGCACTTATTCAACATTGAAGTCAGCTAGAGATTAGTTTACTGAATCTGTAAGAGGAACCCATTTATTTTCATCTACATGCTGCTGGTTTCATGGTGTCAGTAATTCAGATTGTTATTACGGAGTATATTGGTTTTGTGCTCTCATATGTAGTGACCTCTGTTCTTGAATCTGACACTCGGAAAGTAATCTGTTGGATTCTACATTTCTGTTGAATCCTTCTTTAATATTTGGAATTGCGATGATAATTTTGAGAGGGCCTCATTGTTAATTAATTTATAAATCTTGCTTGTTTTTCTTTCACTATGCTAGTTCCTAA